TTCGTGCTAAAATCCAAAACCCTACTATCCTAAATCTGATTGGTTTATCTATAAATTTTAGTCTTGCCTATAAATCTAGTAAAATAAACTTGGAGATTATGATACCCAACGGTATTATTATTATTGCTATGGTTATTTATAATTTACTCAATTACTGATATGATGTAATAAAATCATAGTATTTATCTTTTTTTACGAATATGGTAATTATTATTCTATAAATCATATGAATATCATTAGTAACGCTGAAGGGAAGAATAATATCGCAAAATAGTGATAAAGCTTACTATATATATCATAAAAGCCCTGAGATTCCATCATGACATTAAACTGCTCTTCATATCCAAGGATAAAATTAATATTTTGACATTTGGGATTGATTGTAAAATCATCTAAAATAGACCATTATTCAAAATATGCTAAACACTTATTAATATCAAAGTAGTTATATAAGAAAATAACCATCATAATTAAAGTAAGATTATCCATATATTTAAATGGCTTGAATAATCTTATGGTTAGAGTTTTGTTTAGCGAGTTAGTCTTCTATTGTGTGGTGTCGCTTACTCTATGCCTAACCCTCCTTTATTAATCCGGGGCTTGAGACTGCCAGTATCCCCAGTGGGGCTTCATATACGTTGAAGAATACTGGTCGGTGACCTATACTCCATTAGGAGTAACAGGCGTAAGTCAGTCAGTCAAGAAGTAATCCACATACTTAACAAAAGTTTATTTTTATTTCATCAATTTATTATAATAACATTGATTAAAGTTATATAAAATGTGTTTCTTTGACCTGACGAAATACAGTTGCTCACTAATGTTTCTATATTCATATTAGCGGTATTTACAATACATTTACAATACATCTAACAGTAACAACTGACTTTGTTTTCTTTAAATGGGACATATATAAATACGCATTTGGGTTTTAATTTTGCGGTAATCAGGAATGTACTTCTAAATATACAACAGCTGTTATTGTAAATGAAAATTAAGATTATTATTATTACTACTACTATTAATAATAATAGTAATAAGTGTTTACTATATACTTTTATTATAGAAGAGTAGGTAATTAAGAATAAATTTGAAGAGAATATGGTAATTGATTATGAAAGTTGGTAGTTGGGATAAAGACAATATACAAATAAGAATAGATAATACATTTTGTTTTATAAATATAATGTCCAGAAACCGAATCATATATACACAACAAATGACATAATTAAGATATATGTGTGTTTGCGTACGACATACGTAGGAAATTAGTCTCTTCAATATGATATTATTACATGTATTGAAACGTTTAACATTGAACAATTTTTTAAATCTGTCCACCGTGTGTACATATATGATTGACATTGAATACTTGAATAGTTAGGATACTTTACTTAAATAAAGATAAACTGAAAAAAATTTAAGATGAATGAATAATTTTATGTCAGGGAGGTATTTTGTTGTATCATTTGAGAGGTAATTAGATTATTAACAGTTGTCTACGAAAAATACTTCGTATGCGTTGGCCGGACACTATTAGCAACAACCAACTGTGGGAAAGAACAAACCAGATCCCAACGGAGGAAGAAATTAGGAAGAAGGGCTGGAAGTGAATAGGACACACATTGGGGAAAGCACTGAACTGCGTCACAACACAAGCCCTCACATGGAATCCTGAAGGTCAAAGGAAAAGAGGGCCAAAGAACGCCGGGAAGTGGAGATAGACATGAGAAAAATGAACAAGAATTGGATGGAACTAGAAAAAAAGGCCCAGGACAGAGTGAGTTGGAGAATGCTGATCGGCGGCCTATGCTCCATTCGGAGTAACAGGTGTAAGTAATTAAGTAAGATTATTTTATCTGATATGAATGAATGGAAAATGATAATTTGCTTAAACTGAAGGAAAATTGTAACACTCAAGATTGGGACTAAATCATATTTTCAATGTTACTACATTTAGTAAAAGTTACACCAAGTTTATTGATTTGAAAGTTAGTAAATTTAAACGTACAATAATCACCATATTAGGTATGTTTGTAATTATTATATATTCATTTGAGGATATATAAAGATTTCTTAATCTTGACCGAGTGGATCTTACAAGTAAGTTTCAGTATAATGTGATATAGTATAAAAAATGTAATAAAATAATCAGAGTGTAATTCATTAAGTTTTAGATCTATGCATTAATTTATAGCACTATTCATGTTTATCTTTGTATTTGATTCTCAGATCAGTATTATGTTCGTAAATCTGGCGGGATCTCAAAGCGGAAAAAAGCATTTAGTTACCTAGTAATCCATTGTTTTAATAGTTCTTTAACAGATGCTGTTGTGAGCGAGAACACTAGTGAGGACAACCAAATGTATATGAATGCAAAATTACAGAATCACTCAGTGAAATCAGAATTATACAATAAATACTTCATTTGCAAAATGTCAATCAATCATCTCAGACTTGATTGTTCCTTGATTTCCATATCAATCGTTCTCTGTTCGCATTCTGTTTTCTTCTATTTTCTTAACCTTCTGACACCAGGTATTTTATTTTCATTTATTGACACATACTACATTATATCTTTCGACATCAGTAGGATACACCACAATACCAGTTCTTGTTGGGATGAACTTTCAAAATTTATATATTGTCTCAATAATTTGCTGAATATATCAAGCATAACACTAAAAATGTATGTGGGAAGTAGTGACCAGTGGAGTTCAACATGGTCTGTTGTGAGATAGTAACTCACTGAAGACAATGGTAGACAGTGGCGCAATTTCGTGGATTTGTTGACATGAGACATTAACACCGTTGTTTGACGGCCAGCTCTAGTGGTCTAATGGTTAAGCGTTCGTGCGCGATACTGATAAGTCCTAGGTTCGAATCCCTCGAGTTGAGGTCGTGGCTGTGCGTCGCTGAGGAATCCTATAATAGGACGAAACGACCGTCCAGTGCTTCGAGAATTTTCATGGTGATCTAGCTTTAATTGACTCATAATTTCGATTATTGAAATTAATACAATCTCCACAAAACCCCTTCTGATACTAAAATATGTAACTTAAATATACTTATAATTACCTATAAGTGTTTTAAATGAATATGTCTGAATCGAACTTATTCGTTAATTATTATTTTGCAGGTGATACTTTGTAATCTTAGGTACAAAACGATTTTTCGGACAATTCAAGAGGAACCGAAAGACAAAATGCAGTTACTGTGATTATATACATATACATATTGGTGGTTCCATAGATTTTAAATTTGAATTTCTATCGTAATTTCGAAGTGTTTCAAAGATTCATTAACCGATCATGATTGAATTTTATCAGAACTAATTTCAATATCATTTTACAAATGAAACACAGAATAGATTGGAATAAGCAAGTCATTTACAACAACAATACATGATCTAAAAAAAATGAAGACAAGCTGCTGACGTTTCGTCACACAGTGTAAGTCACTTCTTCAGAGAATAAGTAAAACACCAAATCAAAATTAATTCGATTAGGTTATTTATTCTCTGAAGAAGTGGCTTAAACTGAGTTACGAAACGTCAAAATAATCGAATTTCTCTACTCATTGAAGTATCTACAAATATATTAATTTATTTATAATTTTAAAAATTATTACAGTGGTTTGTAAGTTAACGTTTTACAAGTTCATAGTGAAACAAATTAAACCTCAAACTTTGTGTTTGTATACATGGACAAGATATTCAGAAGATTTTCACTACTTTACTAGTGATGCATAACAAGTAGGCTACACCACTATGAAAAATTTGGAACCACTGGACAGACGTTTCGTCTTATTGTGGGACTCCTCAGAAGTGCATATCCATGATTTCGCACGCGAGATTCGAACCCAGGATCTATCGATCTCACGCTTAACCGCTAGACCACTGAGTCGGCCTACATCCAATGATGTTAATGTTTAACTTAATCTAATCCACAAAATCGAGAGACACATCCACCATTGTCATCAGTGAGTTACTACCTCACAATAGACCAGGTTGAACTCCACTGATCACTGATTCTTATTTACAAAACTATTGTAATTAGTTAAACTTTTTATAATAAGTTACATTTATATAATTGAGTTAAAACAATCTATTATCTTTATGTTTTGTAAAAGAAGCTTTATATCTTGACAATAAGTGAACGGCTAATTTTTATGTTTTGGCACCAATTGCATTTTATATTGATTATCTATTTTTTAGTAATAAAAAGTTTCTTTCTTTACCCAATCTTTGCATTAAGAAGTATGAAGTTAAATTTGATTTTGTCGAAGTTATTGTTACTACCACCGGAGGAATAGTTACTATATTGTTAAATATATATTACATTCAACAAGAAACATTAGTTTACAAAGGTTAATCATCTCTTTGAAGGTTAATAATAGTATCATTTGTATAGGGTTTATTTATTAATGGGATATTAGCTAGGGAAAAATTGAAAAATAAAGGATGATGAACGATCATTTCGTCCTGGATAGAATCTTCAAATAACTACTTGTGTTATACTTTAAAGAAAACCATCTTCAATGTAAATGAGGACCAGGAGAATACTAATTCATATAATGATTTCAAAATTTTTACTTATCTCAGATTTTTTTGTACTAATATGTAACCGTATGTAACGCGGATAATGACTGATTGCAGTCAGTGAAAACATTTTGCATCTTGATTCACTTTCAAGACTCAGTAATTTCCATAACTAACATCTTTAAATCATTAATAAATAAAACAATTGAATGATAATTAATTTTATAATTGAATTCATGAGTCGATCTAAGCTAAACCATCATGAAAAACTTGCAATTACTGGATGGTTATTTTGTCCTAGTATGAGACTTCATATCACTACGCATCTACGATCCCATTCACAGGATCTAAATCCAGGACTTTCAATCCTGTACGCGAACACCTAACCTCTAAATTACTGAACCGACATTAAATTAATTTCATTACAAAATATTAAATAAATTAAACATTATTAGTTTACCTTGTATAAAGAATCATGAATTCCAATAGATCATAAATCCGTTTGTTTTGTTTATGAATTTAAAAGTTTGTTAACATAAAATCCATTCATAGTCCACGAACAATAGCAATAGTAACATGTAAGACTATGTTGTATATAATGTAATTTGTATGCAGTGTACTATTACTACTACTAGTTTAGATAGTAAATAGGTCGTTTATTATGTTCCATTCAAAGATTCAATTCATATACGATTTTATTCCATTCATCTCATAGTGATTAACTCAGAAATCTTGGAATGGCTGATAGCAAATTTGTTGTTGTTGTTGTGTGTATGTGTGTACGTGTGCGTGTGTGTGTGTGCGCGCACTAAAATATTACTAATTTAAACAAAACTCATTCAATAAGTTAACCAATTTGATACGGTTTTCATTTTTTTTTCCTAATTTTTGTGTTACTATTCAACTGTCTTGAATTACGGTAACAATATTGAATAGGGGTAAAAATGTAAAATGAATAATGATGATGAAGAACAATACAGAAGAAGATTTCAGACAGGCAGAAATAGGACACAATCTCAATAATAAATTTTAATATTTCTAAATCATTTAATAGTTTTCAGTTTGGCTTTTGTATTGTTGTTGTTGGTTCAAACAAGTAAATTTGGTAGATTGAAACAGTAATGCCTTTTAGTATAGACTAATGGTAATGTTACTTTGTTTAGGACTATATATATATATATATATATATATATTCCTGTAATATTATTTGTCTAATATCTACACCCTACTGTGTTGTTACTGTCTTTTATTCTAAACTATTTACACAAATCATATGAGAAAGAAAATATACAATTTAGAAAAATTAACCAATAAGAGATAAGTAATTTGAAAATGGCGTTTATTTGAAATCATAATGGTATTTGGTAAATATCATAGAAAAAAAAAGGTTTATAAGAAGAAATGAAACAAAACAAAGGAATGACATTTTAAGATCAGATGTACATTAGAAACAACATTAAATGACATCAAGAAACAGTAGATAAACGTTTTATATTTTTTTCTTACTTGTCTGGTAAATATGACTTGATAGAAATTTCCTTGTATCTTCCTATTGTTGTTTAGAACTGAAATTGATCAGTCTCTTATTGGTATATATGTAAATCTTATGCGGATTGTCTTGATATTGCCTTATGTCACAAGCTTTATCATATTTTCAAATTAAACTGTTATTATTTTAAAATATATTTATGTTACTTCTCATGATTTAAGTCAGAATAATAATTTTAATGAGTTGATTAAAGCTAGATAACTATAAAAAACCAGGAATCCCTAGATGGCCATTTCGTCCTAGTATGTGATTCTTACACTCTGCACTTGAACCCAGATCCTTCGGTTTTCGCGGGTAAACTATAAGATTTTTTAAACATTAAGTAATAAAGATAAAAACAGATGATGAAGTTATATTGTAGTGAACAAGAACACGAGTGAGGACAATCGAATGTATTTGACACGAAATTACAAAGTATCTCACTAAAATCTGTGAACCATATAGTTAGTTTGCAAAATATCAATTCATAGTCTCTAACTTTACTGTTCCTTTTGCAAATATCAGTCTATTGTCTCAGATTTCATGGTTCATTCATTTTCATACCAATTGCCTTCCGTTTTCGTTCTTTCCTTGTCGATGTTTTGCTAAAATACATTCTATGCCTGACCACCGTTATATACTACTCATGTAGATATAAGTAGCCCGCACCACATTATTAATATGAAAAGTCTGTTTTGAATTAACCTACTCATAATTACTAAACATAATAATAACATCTAGTTAATTATCTGTCAAAATAACCACTAAATAATCACCCCTTTATAAGTTAGCAAACAGAACAACAGATATCACTTATTAAATTGTTCAACGATTCTTCGATATTGATTTTCACAAAGTAAGTTGCAGTGATAAATTTTGTTAGTTTATAGACTCAGATGAATTAATTTTATTCGAAGTTCTTTGTAAAACTACGGATTAATTAACTGGATATCAGTCAGTCTTTGGAAATGAAGTATTTGAACACTATACTTCAGTAATTTAAATATTGACCTTCTAGCTTACTGTGTGAAATAAACAATGTGATGCTTTACATCGTCAGTGTGGAGCTAATGGATTAATTTGAAATTGCTTTAATCCATCTCAATATTATATGCGTCCACCTTCAGCTGCAATACAGTCTCTACAACAAGTACCTTATTCGATTATACCTAATAGATCGTCAGAATATGTGCATGTAAAAAGCTTTACCTCAGAAGCAATTAGTTGCAAACCTTACAATTCCATTCAAGCTGAAAATTTAATACCTTATTTTATCAATATTTCAACAAATACAGATCCTTTTCTTTCTTTCTTCATACTTTACTTCCTTTACAACCATCTGTTTCACCTTCCATCTTCCCCTTGAATCTACTACCCCCAACTGTTTTATTTCTCTTTCTACGAACATCCTGATTACATTTAATCTCGATTTCAGTATTTTATCTTATCATGATGAGCCATCTATTCTCAATGATAATTTCCCTATCTATCTTTTGATGAATACTTTAGCCATTAACAATCGAACAAGTATTAAACATTCCTTTTTTTCAAACATTCTTTAATACCTTTATTTAAACTCACTCTCATCATGTCTAACAAAAGTTTATTATCAGTATTATTATCATCCTGTAAAATAAGTATATATACGTGAGCAATTGCACAGCTTTGAAAATGAATTTGCAGAAAAGGGAACTCTTCACTGAACTAATCTTTCTTATTTAATGTTTTCATGGGTGTATTGCGTTTACTGACAAAAATACTGTTAACTCTGTATTTTTGTGCCTGGTCTTTTCCTTATATGTTTAATGATGAAAACACTACCATACTTGCGAATTACAAATACATCAGCGTTAGAATAATCTTTTTCTATTCTGTACTGCTTTAGAATAAGTATACATGGGCGAAATATTTTACAGAAATATGAACATTTAATTCAGTGTTGGTGGCTAGCGATCTCTTTCATGATATTTTAGAGAGGACAGCTAATGAAAGGCTCTAAGCAGCTAATCTAACATTGACACTTTCTAGTAAAACAAAGACGTTTACACAAATAAAGGAGAAGTAATCTGAGTTTATCTCTTCGATGTGCATCTATAAATCCAGCCCTTTCTACAGAAATAGATATATTGCGCACACTATTAGGCAATTTAACAGAAGAATGAGGGAAAATTTATTAAGTCAGTCAAACGAAGATAATATGCACCTCCATCCTGGTACATCAGGTTGACAGTAATCATATGGTGGATAAAATCAAGTCATTATGAATGATATATCTTATAATTTTGTTGTTCCCCAATGGGATTCAATCCAATCTCTTATATGTGACAGAGGCTATGCGGATTCAAACTCTTAACCTTAGTTTAAATGTGCAGAAGAAATTTATGATACTCTAGTCTCTTCCTTGAACCCGATACCACTTAAAGAACGGTTAAACTAACTTTTAAAATCCCGTGTTTCTTTGTCTTTCATCACCTCCATCTGCTTATATTCCTTACTCTTTAATTATCTGCACAATTTTGATAACGCAATTTCGATATCCTTTTATGATCGTTATTAATTCAAAGCCTTTTTATCCAAGTTTGACCTATTCTTCCTCTAATGAAACGTTAACTTATAATTTCATTATTTCACATTTTGTTGTTCTCGTCAATGTTAGTACACCTATCTTGTTGCAATCCATTTGTACTGTTTACGTATTTTGTGTAGTAATGCTTTATGATAATCTAATAGAAAACAATCTAATTCGTTTATATGTTATGTTTATGATCTGAATGTTAAAGAAGTAGGTATCATCATATTGATTAATAATTTGACTGGAAAGCAGATTTAAATACAATACAAAAACTTTCAATCTCTTCACTCTTGAATGTTTTGTCAATAAATACTAAAGCTGAGGAGTTTCACAGTAGGACGAAACGGCCATCCAGTGATTCCAGGTTTTCCATGGTTGTCTAGATTCATTTGACTCATGATCTCAGCTTTTAAAAAAATGCTAAATTCCCCTAAATGGTGACACACGAAAAATTATTCACATCAGAAGTAAGATACCTTTACTCCAACGGCAAGTTGTTAATGAAAATACAGATGTTTATTAAGAGGAAAATTAAAGATGTCACTAGATTACTTTAGTTATTTAGAGAATAAGTAAAAAATTAACCATTGCATCATTGAATGTGTTTTTGATCATAAAGATTCAGTGAATCAGTAGATGTACATGCTTGGCGATTCGAGTGAAATATGCTGGATTAGGCTCACAAATATGAAAATTGACATAAAGCTGAATAGTAAATAATCAGTCAGTCAGTTTGCTATAATGTAGGACCTGGTACACATATGCATCAGTCCAAGTTGCCATACCTCGTTAGCACAACAAGAGGAACACTAAATCCATAAAAATAGTTACTTCAATGGTGGAAATATATGAAACAAAGATTGCATTGTACATAGTACAGGAAGGAAGAAATAGTTCGTAGAATAAAAGATATGAAGTGATTTTAATCTCATAGTTTAAGGGAAGATAGTGAGTGTATAAAGCTACGACATTGTGATCGATTCTGAGACACGTCACTCAAAGTCTCTGGCAATTGGTTACGATATTCACGCAGACCACAACCAAAAAGTTTGCATTTACCAACATGCCTAAGACTAGAAGTTGGGGACTTCATGCATGGATGCCAGGTTTTGGTTTATCCGCTTCTCACTTTCTTTGAACCATCCCCAACACTAGTCAGCACTGAGCGTCCTGGTAATCGGTGTTCATGTGTACGTAACACGTGGCTCAACCATCTCAGTCGATGAAGATTCACAATTTCATCAACTGATTAACCATCACTTTTACTTACCTGGTGATCCCAAAAGATACGAGCAATATTTCTAAAGCATCTGTGATCAAATACTAGTATCTTTTACTCTTAATGGCCAAAGTTCGCAGAACAAACTGCCGTGCCCTATACTCATCCTTTAATTTCATAGAAGTATATCTCGCCTTCGCTATAATTGACGTAAGTTGGCAAAAGCCAAACAATCTTTTCGAATTCGTGATGAAATTTCGTCAATCACCAACTCATTAGAACTGATCAAACTTCCAAGATAAGGGAAATTGGATCTTAGATCCATAATCTATCAGTTATAATTACACTCATTTATGTTTCTAAAAAGAAAAAAAACAACAACTTTATTTCTTCTACACAACATAATATTTAGTACATTAATAATGATAATAATAGTTTATTTACTTAACAATTTAATATGAACATTCTTTTTCTTGTTTCAAAACCTTCTCCTTATTTATTTCATTGAATCGATATGGATATGTTCATAAACATTTTACCTTAATTAATTATTTGATAGAGAAAAATAAATAAACAAGAAGTAATTTAAATATAAATTCACCATGTGAACAAAATGCCCAGCCATCAACCCCCTTGTTTTTTTGAATAATTGAACATCACGTAGATTCATACTTAGGTCAATTGAATTTATGATTATTAAAATTGGAATGAAAGTAACGATAATAATAATCGAGAAGAAGAAGAAGACGAAGAAGAAGGGGAAGGAGAAGGAGGAGAAGGAGGAGGAGGAGAAGGAGAAGAAGAAGACGAAGAGGAGGAGGAAATGATCGAAATA